ATTAAATTATGTTGATGTATCATTTCTATCATCTAACTGGAGAAATGTCCACCTTATTGGACAGATGCACTTGCTTTTCATTATTTTTGTTTCATTATAAAAGTTATTTCAATATAAAAGTTATTTGCACCGATATATAAACAAGTAGTAATAAGTGTGTAGTCCAACACTCCTCATATACCCAGTTCTTGTCTATCTAAACCAAGTCACAAAGTGACTAATGTGATGGTAACAAGTCTTGGTTACAAGTATATGTGTGAGATCATCAGAAAAGCCGGCATGTCGATCATCCCAAAATATTGAACATATGTGGGTCCATCTACAATACAAAGCACAAATACATGAACAATAATATCTAGTAATCAAGATGACAAATGCATGAGGGAAACAATACTACACTTACACACTAGGCCCACATCCATATCATAGTGTATCGTATGAGCTCAAATATCAATATGATCAATAACAAGCTTGTGATTGATCGCTCTATGGATCTGTCAAATATTCAATCAACTTAGGATCCCACAATGTGTCTATCATCACCTCCATTGCTCAAGAGACCCCATCGACAAAAACATAATACAATTTGGCAAGGCCCAAGTATAAGTAGTTCATCATGCAGATCAGCACTCCTAGAGCCATTGTGGGACCTCCTAACATTGTCCATATACGGGTATTGGACCCCCAATGCCCTATCATACACTACCTTTAATAATTGTCAAGAGATTCGAGCAGTGTATCTATTTGGATATAAGAGTATAGTACTACTACAATGGAATTCACTACAATGATCAATATTTTCAACACAAGTAACCATATATAATGCATGGTACAATAGCATTTCTGCGCTTAATATAATTGACTTAATATGCAATTAAGTCATAGCCATATCACCAACACTAGTAGTGTAGCAGAAACTCCAATCAATTACAAGACAAACAACGGGAAGCACCAAGCGACCTAAATTCCATTATTCAACAATTGAACGAATGAATAAAGATCAAAAGGTTGGCAAGCTCTGGCCGTCAAGTTCTTTTGAAAGCCAAAATTCAACCATGTTCATCCCCAAGTTGCTCTCTTATATGCAAAGTTAAACCTCGCTATGACAAAGGACTATTCTCGATTGAGTTGTTACTTGCTAGTTCACTAGGCTTCCCTTTCGGTGGTCTAATTTACCTATGATGTGTTGTTGAGCATTGCATCAATTAGTGTATCACGTTACTTTGTACAGTTGTTGCAGTTACCAATATTCTGTTGACCTGTTGACCTATGGTTAATTTGAAACCTTGAAATTTTGATTATAACAAACAAGTTGGTCTTATTTACTAACAAGTTAATTTTTAGTGATTATAGTTTTTCAACGCGCACAGAAGAATATTGATCAATGGCCGTCAAAAGAGCAAAAGCTATCATCACAAATCGAACCCTTGAAGAAAGTCAAGATCAAAGCCACATTCAAGAAATCAAGAACCAAACTTGGAAGCAAAATCAAATACTTGTTTTCTTAGGAAAAATGTAAATGTACTAACACCTTGATATATGGTATGAATGACAATAGCTCAACACCATTCCATGCATTAAAGTGATTCGAATACGATATTTTGATCAAGTGAAAAATGACTTTTAAATATTAACTTTTGGACTTAAAATAATCTTTCATCTTAAAAGGTTAGTGAAAAATGCTCATCAAAAGACCATACTTTTCAAAAGTCTCAAAGCAAAACAAACAAGATAAAAAAAAAATGGACTGCCAATGTACTGGCGATTGACCGATCGGACAGGCGGATCGACTAGAAAATTCCCAACGGTCCAAAATTTGACTGTTCTGACTTTTGATTTCTCCTGTACAACGGTCATTTTGGTCATTCAAAAATTGGTGGTCAACCGGACCGATCATCCGGTTTGACAGAAATTTTTGACCTTTTTCATCTCTATAAATACCAACTCTCTTATCATTTATTATAACAACTTTAGAGGAATTGAGTTTCTTGTGAGTTAAAATTGCATTGATGTCTCACCTAATTTATTATTATCAAATCATTCTAACTTTTAAAAACTTTTAATTGATCTCAACTTTGAAAATCATTCCATTCATCAAAGTTTTTCAAAGCTAACTCTTGAGCTTCATTCATTGCTATTTATCAAATTGTTAGCCTACTTCTCTTCTTATACTTAACTTTGGATTTATCATTCATTAAGAAGATAATATTTCACTTGTACATTCATTTGAATTGGGGGTCGTGTTGAGGTCTCGAAAAGCTCAACGTTTTAAAAGGATCGATGCTCCTTGCTTGTAAATCACTGAAAGCTTTGTAAATAATTGAATTGCATCACAAGTCAATCAATATAGTGAAATTGGCTTTACTCGTATCGGAGAGCGGTAGCAGAGGACGTAGATCATTACGTTGGATTGAATCTCCATAATTATATAGTTTGCACTCTCTATCCACTACAACAAAAAAAGGGCTTTGACAACATTTAAAATACAACATTTATTGATTAGATGTTGTTAAAAAGGTCCATTGCAACGTTCGTGTGAGTGAATGTTGCGAAAAGTGTCATTTTGCAACGTTTTTCAAATGAACGTTGCCAAAATCACCACTTTTCACAACGTTCCAAAGACGTTGCAAAAGTAACACTTTTAGCAACGTTCACTGAACGTTGCGAAAAGTCGTTCATTTGAAAAACGTTGCAAAATGTCAATTTTTTTTAATTAAAAACGACGTCGTACTGCCCACTATCTCTTCTATATATAAAGTGGCTATGAATCGGAAATTCTTGTTCCACTTTTTCCACCGTTAACTTTAACGGATTCCGTTAAGCAGCAATTAAGCCATGTCATTAATGTTTGTCTGTTAGAATTCAATTATCCTCCCCAACTTTGTGCTCTCATTTCAAGAAGAAACCTCTCTCTATTTCTCTCACACATAGATACACACACATTCATTATCCATCGGAAACAAGAGAGATAAAATGAATAGATACATCTATAGATGCATACGTATTTTTCATGTTCGTTTTCATCTACTGTTAACGTGTTCACTTATTTATCGTTACAGCAATTTCTCTCCCCACCAAGACAGATTTTTTTCCTCTCTCTGACTCTCTCTCTTAACCTTTTTTTGGTAGTTATCCATCTTTATCATTTGCTTATGGTAGAGTAGAAGTGCTAAATTTGAGTGGGTTTTATAATTTTTCTGTTGTTTGTGTGATTTAGGTAGTCTACCAATTTTTAGTTGATTTTATCTAATCTTGGGTTTGAGTTGATCTTTTCTATTTTGTTTTCAATTAATCCATATTCTATTTGTGAATCAATAGAACTTAATTTTTAGTTGATCAACAGCTGAGCATTTTGGGATAATTATTTATATTTTAATTTTTGGTTAAGTTTATGTATTAACTTTTATTTCATGTTTTGTGGTAGATTCCAGTTGTGATCATTTCTTTATTTGACATGCCTTGGAGTGGGAGTGGAGTTCACTATATGTTTCAATTTCTTAACTAATTATTCAATTAGTTAATATATTTGGGTCATTTCTTAATTTTGTATGCGGTGGGAAGTTGGTGTCCCCCATTGTATCATAAAAGTAGGTAATTGAGTTTGTTGTGTATACATATGCCTATTTGTATGCGTCTATGGTTTTTTTTTTTTTTACTTGAGCTTGCTTTCAGAATGATAATTTTTTCCTTTAAAAATTGAACTTGGATAATTTCTTACTATTGTGTTTCATTTGCTGTTTTTCGTGGTTTATTCA